GGGCACACCCCGGAGCCGCGTGCCTGCGCCTGCCACCACGTTTCCACAACCGTAGGAGGGCCCACCGCAACACCTGGCGGCATTGCTACACCCCACAGGTACCCGGCCCGTCCCGTCTAACCTCTCCGTGACACGACGGAAGAAGGCCCGTGTGGGGGGCAATCGATATATGTTTTCTGTACATTTAAGTTAATGAAATTAGTATTGGAAAAAAATAAAAAATTATAAGAGAAAATACAAAAAATATAAAAATATTAATAGAAACCTATGCCTACGGCCTAGCCGTCGGCATAGCTACGGCCACGGAACGGTAGAGCCCTGGATCGATGACGTGGCGTAGGGCGGGGATCAATGACGTGGCAAAAACCATGGGCCAGGCCTATGCCGACGGCCTTGCCGTCGGCATAGAAATGCCACCCCACGGGACCGGCGACCGACGTGGATCGATGACGTGGCGGCGCGGCGGATCGATGACGTCGGCGTAGCTATGCCGACGGCCACCGTTAGCCCGTCGCCGTAGCCTGACGCCGTCAAACTGCCGTCGCCGCCCGGGTAGACGGGCCCACGTGATATGGCGACGGCCTGCTCTATGCCGACGGCCCCCGTCGGTATATTTGGAGAAACGCCGACGGCTTATCTATGCCGACGGCCCCCGTCGGCATAGATGGTTATACGCCGACGGCCTTTCTACGCCGACGGCTTTAGTTGGGCCGTCGGGGTATGCCCATGTATGCCGACGGGGGCCGTCGGCATAGATATGGCCGTCGGCAACTGCCTAAATTCTAGTAGTGTTGGGATCTATGCTTTACCTGGGCGACGTTGCGGCCGACCTTAATAGCATGATGAAAAAGCTTGAGGACTGGAGTAGCAATTTTTTTGGTAATGTGATTAAAGAGATCAATAAGTCTCGTTCTCGCCTTGACCAGCTTGTGTCTATGAATGTATCAAAAAGAAAGAAGGGAGACGAATGATCGTATGAATGAACTTTTGTATTGTGAGGAAATGTTGTGGATGCAGAGGTATCGCATTGCATGGCTGCACGAGGAGGACCACAACACATGTTTTTTCACCGGAAGGCGGTCTGGAGGGCACGGAAAAAAGCGAATCAAGGCTCTGGTGGATGATACAGGCGTGATGCACAAGGTCAATGAGTCCAGGGCTGCTATGGCAACGCCATATTTGTCGATGCCTCCCTTAAAGAGTTGGTGGAATTATTGTGACCATCAAGAGATTTTCATCACGGAGCTCTCTGTTAATTGGGACCTCAGTTCCATCGGTCCTTGTATCATGGGGAGTTCGTGGAATGCCAAGTCCTCATTGCCCATTTCCCGCTACTCTCAATGACTTCAGATCAAATAGTTTGGCCTCACTCAGTGTCTGACAAGTTCGGTGAATTCACTTTACTCTAGCCTTATTCTAGGCAAGTTTACCATCAAGTTACCTTTCCCTCATCATCCTTCTGATGTTCTTTCCGAATGAACAACACCTATACTCCGGGTCAGATTTTTTTTTTTTTGGCTCACTGAGTTTTGTTGCTAACCTGGCGTCGCTGCATGGTACCAATGCTGCCATGTAAAAGCTACTCCCTCCGTTTTGTTTTAAATGTCTAAAACGTCTTACAAAAATGGACAAAAATTCAGAAGGTTATCTCCCGCCAGCACAAGGCGAACGCTCTCCTGCCGAAGGCAGAACGAGCTCCTGGCCTCCATGGAGCTCGTCCGGGACCGGCCATCACGATTCACACGCTTGCAGACTGATACCGTGGCCGATCTGGCAGGAACATCTGCAACACCATCAGGGGCGGGGCGCGGACCCCCAATGCAGCGTCTTTCTGCACCCAGGGCAAGAACATGACAACATGACGGCTGCAACTGAAGGGCTGGAAAACATCCAACTTGGCGATGATCACTCAGATCGGGAGAGATTCAACGCTTGCGTGGAGCTGCTCAAAACGTTGGTAGTCCAGCAGAACGCAGTCAGCCAATCCAGAAGCAAGGTGTTGCCCACTCACGACTTGCAGGCGAGAGGACCACGAAAAAAAATACTGCAAAAATAATCAATCCACTTGAACATGCATGTTAGTAGCTGAGATTTCTTTATTCAGGAGAAGGTAAAAGAAAAACCTAGGATTGAAAACTTAATTAGCGAATACTGAACAATAACTGAGAAGAATGAAACTATGAACAATGATAAATAAGCAAGCTGTCTAGAGAAACAGAATTAAACCTTAACTGTGACTAACAGATGACTTTGGATGACCTGGGCCTTAACAATGATGCTTATGATAACCCGGAAAATAAAAAATGACAACACATGCTCTGATCTCAAAATTATATGAATGAAAAAGCTTCTGAACACTTGGCTAGCACCTTCTCTCAAAAGCCTGAACAGTGATGTCTGAATATAGAACACTGCAGATACCAAAGCAGAAATCCCATCTGAGCTTCTGAACCACACAAACAGTTTGGCTAAATCCCAGCGGAAAACATTGCGACGACTTAATAAAGCAATGCTACATAACCAGCTAACATATACTGCTCACGAAAAATGGAAAAGAGATTGGTTACATAAATCCCATCTGAACGTCTCAACCATGCATGTACAAAACAGTGAGACACTAAATGAGATCACGAAAGGAGTTACAAAAAATGATGCACCTACGCTGAAATTTATAGACAGGTAAGGTATATAGGACCTGTACACCTCACTCAATAAATGAAAAAAACTTTTGTGTCCGTGCATAACTGCAGTGAAGACCATGCCTGAAGCAACATAGCAGTGCGCGAATCTAGCTATACGACAGATGAATGATGATCACAAAAATTGCTGCACGACGGATAATATAGCAAAAACGGCACAAGAATCAAAAGTTCTACGAACTGTGCTAGCAGCTACCCGCATTTTCGATCATGTCTCTGAACCAAACACTCTTGGCTAACCTCACATTCAGACTCTGAACCAAACTCTTGGCTAACCTCACATTCAGAAAACAGCACAGCCCCCACTAGATGGGCATGTAAACTTAGACCAAACCAGAAGAAGAATGAAAACACTCTAATAGCAATCAGGTAGGAGCGGCCAACATTCCCAATCCTGATTCTGAACCCAAACTAGCTGTACAAAGTACAAACTAATCTAATACCAAACTAGCTCTGAAAGTACAGAAAATGGGACTAATATACAGCTGAGGCATCTCGAGAAAAAGAAGCACAGCCCCCTGCTGGTGAAACATAGATCGTACACTTACCAAACACACAACATATCTGAAAAAAGAAGAGAAAACGCATGGATGAGGGAGGAATAAACATCACATAAGCATATCTGAAGAACACATGCCTGCGGTTTTGTCATACTGTACTTCCGAGACTTACACTTACCATTGGCAATTATGGATGCTACATACTACTAACAGTTTTTTGTTTGCCACTAGCACAGGCGACCCAACCGCCAAACCAAGGCAAGAGGAGACATAAATTAATGTCTTAACATACGGAATGAATGTTACTAACAGAGAATTACTACATGCCAAGATAAATAGAGCCTAAATTCTATTTTGGTCGACGATTTGCAGCTTTAACTCATGCGCCATGAGCTGCTTGGACCCATCCATGCAGATGTGACCCCGCCACGAAGATCGAGCGGGTCCGACTCAGTCTCCCTTGCAGAATACCAATGACCTCGCCGTTTGAGTTGAACAGTGGCGCCCCGGACGAGCTCTCAGCAGTTCTCATGTCGACTTCCAATACATTCATGTTGTACCCCAAAGGATCGGGCATGTCAATCCCCCTTGAAGAAACAGTTGTACCTATAGAGACCATTCTAGGCATATTGGACGGCCAAGACACCATCATGCACTGCCTATGATTTATTGGAGTTTTGGCAGAGATCTCAAGGGTAGGGTGTGCTTGGGCGCATATGCCATCGTCTGAGTAATTCTTGAGGCTGCTGTTCTCAACACTCAGAACAATTGTATCTTCACCTGAATCAACCCCAGCTACTGTTGCAGTGCCGTACTTCCTGACAGCATTAACCAACCTAGCTTCCTGAATAGTTTCTTCCTGGTGATCACATAAGACAGTAATGTCCATCATATCCAGTGTCTCTCGTGTCAAAGGTCGAAACGCATTGAAGAGATGGCTCAAACCGTGTGCACTTGTCATGATTAGCAGTCCGGTTGGTCTAGAATAGTAGGCAAAACCAGTAGAAGAATGCCCATTCCTGACCTTGTCGTACCGCGATTCTTTATCTTTTACTGTCTTGACCTCATCAGCCAAGATTTTGAGTTCTTCGAGCTGGTCTTGTTTCGGAGCAAACTGGATGGAAAAGATTGAACCTTTGACCCGATCAAACACCTGTGTCCAGTCAACGTCCTCTTCCGCCATCATGCTGCAGGGAAAAGAGTCGATTTGGGATCAATGGGTGATGAATAACCAGCGAATACTGGAAAGCAGGAGGGAATTGGGGGAAAGTACAAGGTGGAGGCAGTGATGGACCTAGGAACTTATTTTTCACTAGATTCATTGTCGAAAATACTCTTTTAACAACAACAACAACAAAGCCTTTAGTCCCAAACAAGTTGGGGTAGGCTAGAGGTGAAACCCATAAGATCTCGCAACCAACTCATGGCTCTGGCACATGGATAGCAAGCTTCCACGCACCCCTGTCCATAGCTAGCTCTTTGTCGATACTCCAATCCTTCAGGTCTCTCTTAACGGACTCCTCCCATGTCAAAATCGGTCGACCCCGCCCTCTCTTGACATTCTCCGCACGCTTTAGCCGTCCGCTATGCACTGGAGCTTCTGGAGGCCTGCGCTGAATATGCCCAAACCATCTCAAACGATGTTGGACAAGCTTCTCCTCAATTGGTGCTACCCCAACTCTATCTCGTATATCATCATTCCGGACTCGATCCTTCCTCGTGTGGCCACACATCCATCTCAACATACGCATCTCCGCCACACCTAACTGTTGAACATGTCGCCTTTTAGTCGGCCAACACTCCACGCCATACAACATTGCGGGTTGAACCGCCGTCCTGTAGAACTTGCCTTTTAGCTTTTGTGGCACTCTCTTGTCACAGAGAATGCCAGAAGCTTGGCGCCACTTCATCCATCCGGCTTTGATTCGATGGTTCACATCTTCATCAATACCCCCATCCTCCTGCAACATTGACCCCAAATACCGAAAGGTGTCCTTCCGAGGTACCACCTGGCCATCAAGGCTAACCTCCTCCTCCTCACAGCTAGTAGTACTGAAACCGCACATCATGTACTCGGTTTTAGTTCTACTAAGCCTAAACCCTTTCGATTCCAAGGTTTGTCTCCATAACTCTAACTTCCTATTTACCCCCATCCGACTATCGTCAACTAGCACCACATCATCCGCAAAGAGCATACACCATGGGATATCGAAAATACTCTTTTAACAGAAGAAAAAAAAACATCATATGACATTTGTGAATGTTTAAGAACATCGAAAGGCAGTGCAACAAACATTACTAAATACTCAGTCCATTTGGCTGTGCTCATATGCATGCAGTCTGTTCATTGGCTGTGAGCTTTTGAGTTGTAGTTTCACTCTGATGCAAACAAATTTATATTTACACAAGCAGAAGTGATGCGAACATAACTACTGTACTATGCATTCGTCTCTTCTTCTTCATCAAATTGATCCAATCATTCACTGGATCCATTGATGCTAAAATGATATGAACTCTAGTACTCTACCATCAGTACAATCAAGCAAATATGCATGCAGTCTGTTCATTGACTTGGCTATGAACTTTTCAGTTGTAGTTTCACTCTGATGCAAACAAAATTATGTTTACACAAGCAGAAGTGATGCGAACATAACTACTCTGCATCCGTCTCTTCTTCTTCATCAAATTGATCCAATCATTCATTGGATCCATTGATGCAAAAATGATATGAACTCTAGTGCTCTACCATCAGTACAATCAAGCAAATAGCAAGCAGTACATGGAGGGGGTAGGCACGGGGCAGCAGTAACTCACGCACGAGGCCGAGGCCACGGCCGGCACTGGGAGCGGGGAGGGTCGGAGGAGACGAGGGCGTCGACCGTCGGTACCGGAGGCGCGGGCGAGAGGAGCTCCTCCTGAGCGGCAGTGCGACCGTCTGGTCCGGCTCGGCGGGTCGGCGGGTCGCGGCGGTTGCTTCGGGCCTCCGGCCACCGGCGGTCAGCGCCGAACTACCGATGAGAAGGAGCGGCGGCGGCAGACTGGGTAAGCGCCGAGCGGCGGCGCGTCCTGGTGACTGGTGACTAGGTCGCGTCGCTGTGGGCTGTGGGCTCAGATGTGATTTTTTTTCTTAGGAACCGGCTCGCTCACATGTGATGTGACGGCAGAATATCAGTTGGGCCTCGGCTCAATTCAGTTTGGGCTGACATATTACGCGCACTCTAGCCTTATAAGCGCCTAAGAAACTGAACTAGCACATCATCTTATCTTGAGATAAACGAAGTCGCGATAGACGCTTCCATAGTCTGTCGCCGGGAACATCTCCTCCCACTGAACACACATTCTGGAAGACCTAAAATAAGGGACCTCCTATCTGCCACTCTTTACGGCAAATTGCCGGCCGCACGCACAGGCGGATATTCGACTCGGACGGCCCTAGCTAGCGACTGTAGCTCTGTAGAACTCAAAAAAAGTCACGTTCTGTAGGGATCAAATGCAGGAGGTCCAGTTCCAAATGACCTGCTATTACCACTTGAGCTAGCAAGCTTATCTGAATATTGAGCTGTGCGAAACAATTAGGAACCAAAACCATCACAGATCTGAGTTTTTTCTTAAATTTCAAACGCAGACATTCGTTTGAACAAAAAGGGGAATGTCCTATGAAATTTTTGAACAAACTCGTAAAAAACTCAAACACTTTTGAAAACCGGGAACAGTTTTTGAACATAATGAACGCCATTTGGAACCTCTGGGAAAAAAATTAAAATGCGAACATTTTTTCAAAAGGGAACATTTTCTAAAGTAACAAAAACTTTTGGAAAACATGAGCATTTTTTGAAACGCCGCATACAAAATTTTAAAAAACAAACATTTTTAAAATTCCAAACAAAATTTGGACACACAAACATTTTTAAACACTCTGGAACAAAATTTGAAAATACGAACAATTTTGAAATATGCAAACAATTATTGAAATGGGAACATTTTTTGAACTCTGGAATAAAAAATTTTAACATGAATTTTTTGAAATTTGTGAAGAATTTTAAAACAAGAACATTTTTTGAATCTTCCAAACAAAATTTGGAAACATGAACATCCTTTAAAATTAGCAAACAAGTTTTTTTAACGGAAATATTTATGTAAATACCCAATTTTTTCCAAAAAAGTTTTGAAATTCTGAATAAAAGCATAAAGAAAAGAAAAGGAACAAAAAATAAAAGAAGAGAAGAAAAAGAAACAGAAAAAGTAAAAAGATAAAACAAATAATAAAAAACCATTAGTAAGGAAAAAACGAGTAAAATCGGTTCAGGAACTTTCTGGAATGTTCACAAAACCGGAAAAACCAAGTTGAAACCTTCCAGTATGTTCCCAAAACCGGATACGGTGCTCGTTAGCTTCTAAGATGGTCTGACCCAGTTCAATCGCTAGCTTGATCGGGTCTATGCGGATCGACTACTCGATGCAAAGTGCGTCAAATAGGAAAAACATTCAGAAAAATGCAAGTAGCGGTGTCAAATTTAGGACTTGAACTCTGGTGGGCTGAAGACACTATTCTCCTAATCATCCAACCATGAATCACTATGGGTGTGCCACGGCACACCAGGCACACCTCTAAGTCCGCCAATGGGTGGAGGAGGACGTACCCAAGGACGCCGGTGGGAGTCACCGGTCGGTGGGTCGCAGGATCAAGTTTACCATTTCGTTGCCGACAACATGTGGGTCGATTATAGAGTTCCGTCGCCGGTCATGGCTCGATTAATGGGGCGCGGGATCAGCTCCGAGGTCTCGTCGCCAACCGTTGTGTCGGGGCCTGGGATTTCATCGCCAGATCAATCCAGTTCAGGATTTTCTCGAATGTGTCGGTGGTGAAGTACTTTTTTAGGGAGCTCCTGTGTCCTGTCGGGGTTGGCTATGGGCGTTGCTGTGTGCCGTCTACTACGAGCCATATCATGGCTCACATGCAGTGGCGCACGTAGGGCCACCACTCACCAGTTGGCTTTTTTGTTTTATTTCTTCTTTCATTTTTATTCATGTTTTTGTTTTTGTTTTTTTGCTTTATTTTTTCACTTTGTTTATAGTATAAAAAAATTAACATACAATTTTTACAAATGTTAATCTTGCATTTCAAAATGTTAAATGTGTATACAAAAATATTTTTGATGCACATGAAAATGTATAAATGTGAAACAAAAAAGTAGAATGTGCTAATCATGCGTACGAAAAATGTCTATGTATTCTAAAAAATGGTCATTTAATTGACAGAAATGATTCATATGTGCGAAAAAAAATGCTAATCTTACATTTGAAAATGTTAAATGTGTATCAAAAATGTATTTGATGCACACAAAAAATGTATAAATGTGAAACAAAACAAGTGGAACATGTTAGTCATGTTTACGGAAAATATTAATCATGTGTGTGGAAAATGTTATACATTGTAAAAAAATGTTCATGCAATTCGAAAACATGAATCATGTGTGCAAAAAAAAAGTTATTCATGTGTATGATTTTTTTACAATGCACAAGGAAAATGTACAGAAGTGAAACAAAAAAGTGGATCATGTTAATCATTTGTTCGACAAATGTTAGTTATGTGTGAGAGAATTGTTTACACATTGTAAAAAATGTTTATTTAAATAAAAAAATCTTAATCATGTTCACAAGTTTTAAAAAATGTCTATACAATGTTAATCTTTTGCACAGTTCAGAAAAAATGTACAACTGTATTTGGAAAAATATTATCGTGTATTTGAAAAGGTGTTTAAAAAGGTACATTTGAAAAACAATGTATTTACACAATCTACTTAATGTATTTGAAAAATGTCCAACATCTATCACCAAAATGTTTCATGTGTGCTCTAAAAATGCACATTGTATGCCTAGAAAAAGAAGACGTGAGTGCAGAAAAAAAATAAATAAAAACCATAAAGAAACATATATTTTAAAAACTCTTTAACATATATTTGAAAATTTTCCAACATGTATCAGAAAAATGTTTCATGTGTGCTCGAAAAAAATACATTGTGTACCAAGAAAAAGTAGACATGGGGCCAAAAAAATCCCCACAAAAACATATATTTTAAAAGTTCGTTATCATGTATTTGGAAAAAAATTGGCATGCATAAAAAATGTTTCAGGTGTATAATAAAGAGCGTACAACGTGTATGAAAAAAAGTAGACATCAGAGCA